AAGTGTTGAAAATAGAGTCATAAAACAATTAACGTTTATTGACTTTCGCGGTAGGGGGTAACGCGGGGTCGGTTGACAAATTTTCTCGCAGTAGTGCAAAAGTTCTACTCACTTCGCTTGAAAGTGTCATATTTCTTCCCCACTTACAAACAAACCCGATGGCAATCGGTGAAACAGGAGATAAATTACAGCGAGTTGAAATTTGATATGTTTATTTTTTTGCGTTTTTCGTATCGAATTACATAAAAATAAATATTAAAAAATTCATTTTGTCAATACGCAAGTAATTTATATCACTAGATAGAAAACAAAGCGCAGAATCCAACTAAGAAACTGTAGTTTCTTTACGCGATAGATAAAATTGAATTATTTCATATTAAAAACACTGGGTCTGTAAGACCCATGCGACTCAAGTAAGGGCCCCATTCCTAGCGACTTACGGAGGGTTAAATATAAAACTAATTCTTTTTTAAAAAAGTAACTTATATAAAATACTAACCAATCACATCTTTGTTAAAAAAAATTACAGCCAATCATATTTTTCTTGAAGAAAAAAACGTATATTATGAAGCAGATAAAGAAAACTCACAGCCTATATTGCTGTTCGTTTGAATAAAGCGCTTAACGTCAGGTCCCACGAGTAAATTCAAGGTATAAAACTTGTGTTATTAAATTCTTATACAAATTAAATATAATCTATACTGTATCATCTTTATTTCGATATAATCTATACTGTATCGTCTTTATTTCGATATAATTCAAAAAAAAATTTTATAAAAAATTTCTTTGTTTTTAAATTGTGTTATATATAATTTTTTATATTATAATTAATTTTTTATACCCCAAAGTGTATCGAATCTATACTACTTACATGTTTGAGGTTATCTTAATCTTTGCGTGGACATTCCTCTACTCTTTAGTACATATTAACCAATAAATGCTAAAACGATTCCAACAGTATTCTGGTAATTTTTTCTCGAATTCTGACTTAGAGTTCAGAATTACTGTATGGGAAATTAATTTCTACTATTTTTTCAAATATCTTCACAAAATAATTACATCTGGACAATCTTCTGATACAAACAATGTCACTATTACTAGAGATAACTTTACGGACAACAACTTCTTAGAGCAGTTATTGATATTTTGGTTTTATAAGCTGCATCTTGTTGTAACCATGTCTGGTCATTAACAACTAGAAGTATAGGGGAGAAGGTAATATTATGGAACCGCATTTTCATTATATTGAATTATAAACAAGGTATCATAACTACACCCACATTTTTTGTGTGAAAACTACTGGTAACTATTAAACTAAATGTTCTTAATTGAATTTTTCGTTAGTGTAACTATAAGTATGGTTTTTGAAGGCTTTTGTACAAAAATTCATAAAGTAGGCTTAGAGAAAATCAAGTGGTAATATGAAACCTTATTCTATGTTTTCAAAAAATGCTTTAATGTATCCAAAAATAAATAGGAAAGTACAAAAAAAATGTGAAATAATTTCAAATTATTTACTCCAATGTATTTTATCGAAAAAATGCTTTTATAATAGAAAAATATGACCTCCATTAACAATATATATTCCAGCAGCTCTTTCTCGATATTGTCAGGAATAGTTCGCTTTCTACCTAGTGTCTTTTTCACAAATTGTTCCGGATGAGTATCTGCTTGCAAATACAGTTCAGAGGAGTTGGGTTCCATATTAAAAGCACCAATGGGGTCTATATTAAAAGCACCAATGAAATCGCCATCTTGAATTAACTTATGTCTGTCAAGACCAAATTTTAAAAAATGCGAACATCACACAGATTAATATGTACGATGTTCACGTTTGTGATGTCCCTAAGTGTCTGGAACGAAATACATTCACCAATGAACTTACAACTATACGATTTATATTTTAAAAATAATTAAATTCACTTAACATTCAAATCTTCGAATTGTAAAAAACACAAATTTACTGATTCACTAATGACAACCGTTTAACTGAAGTGAAACTAATTGTCCCCTTGCAATGGATGTCTGCCTAATGCAGTTCAGCTACACTAGGCAGACATCCATTGCAGTCTGTTTGCCTTTATTATCAGTTCGAAATGGAGTGGTTCCATAATACCACCTTTTCCTCTACTTAATTCTTGCGTCAAAACCGTCAAACTACAAACAAAGGAAGAATGCTAAGTTCTGTTGACTAACTTCGATAGCGGTTCTCACATTCACGATATTTTCTAGGGTGTCCGATTCTTACTGCATTCGGAGGCGTTTTTGCTACAGAACAACTTTCCTGAAAGCTCTCAATTCATGTCATAATGACAGGATTATTTTTATGGATCTTAAAATGACGAATAAATAATTATTTTGAGGCCATTATACAATCATTATATTTAGGAAATGCCTTCATGGTAAACGCACATTGCGCCTCTATTCATTACTTCAAAATTACTACTTGTTCTTGACAACATATCATTGTTCCCGTAGTTTCTTTTATTCAATTAGTACATAGAAAAATGGACTTTGAAACCTCCCGTTTCTCGGCCCTATCCTGTATATTTTAACCAATGACAACAGCAGAAACAACTAAAATAATTATATTTATGAATTTAATGTAAAAAGACATTAAGTGTAACATTCTGATTTATATTATCAATATTTACTGTTAATTGTCCACAAAGTGTTACTGAACAATGTTCAAGAAGAGAAAAATTTAATAGCATTTTTAGCAGATAACAATGGTTATTCACAATTTTTGAGTACATTGAGTATTAATTCATTTCTTCACAACTTCAACCAAATTATCAAAAACTAAATCAAAATCTACGAGCTAAAATATTTTTTCACATAAAACATTTTTTTTTCAAATGTCTCCAATCTACTTATTCACAATACAGCATATATGAATAATATAAAAGTAATATTTTACTGAAAATAGATTATAATTTTTACTTACCTTTCTATAAATAAGAGTGCAGAAAGCTACTTTCAGTTTCATTGAATAATATTCTGTCATAAACAGATTAGTATTGTGCGTAAACGTATAAATCGCAGTAGTAGCAAAAAATCCTGCAATTGTAACATAAACATTGTAGTGATTCCATTCCTGTCTGTTTTCGAAATAACGTACTGTTGATCCTACAAAATATGCTTGACCTGTAACTACAACTGTTTCCTGTAATTATACGTAAATACGTTATTTTAATTATTTTAATAATACTAACTTCACCTCTTTATAATCGGGTGTAATAATACCTGAATTAGTACAAGTAGTATTACAATCGAGTACTTCCAACCAACAAAACGTAAGGCAGCTTTCAGTATGCTCGGATGTTTCTTCTGCAATTCCTTTTTCCATTCTCTGAAAAAAATTCGATGAAACATTTAATTTAAAAACAATATTTCATTAAATGCTATTTAACTTTTGTAATGTTTAGAGCTTTATAAATGTATTTTATTTTGAAAATACATAAAAAAATTTCTAATGCAGCACCACAGAATCTGGAATGTACAGTAATAACTGGCCACGCTAGTATTCTGCGAATCCGAAAATTATTAAACAAGTGGTTTTTTTATGATCCCGAGACACAATAAAAATATGGTGTGTTTTTCTGCACCTTACTATACGACAAAAGACGGATATAATATTAACAGAGTATAGTCATATAACATTTCATTGTAAGATGGAATAAATAGCACGCTTAAACGAATCGCGGACTTATGCAGCGTTTGCTTTCAGATGTCTTCTCTGGAAAGATTACATATAACTTATTAAAGATTTTGTTAGATACTAAATTCTAATCTTTTCGAATTTTGAATATTTCTGTTTGCACCATAAATGTTTACCTTCTAAATTTTTAATTTTGAAAACTATAATTAACATTCTTACAATTTGAAAATTCTCAGTATCTAAAATAAAAATAAATTACGTGTTTATTGATAAACTGAAATTTTATATAAATATATTTTCTATTCGATCTAATAAAACATTTTATATTATTAATTATTATTTATTTATTTAGTACAAAATAAATTATTTATTAACCAAGTAAAACCACCTGCATGTTAATGTCAAAAGGGAACCAACTCAAGAAACCAAACTCGATGAATGAAGGAAGTACTAAGTTAAGATACACCAACAGTATGAAATACTTGGGCATTACTATGTACTAGGGTTTGAAATGCTATATTCACATAAATCTGAAAAGCGCTTGTAGAGAAGGAGAACTTTCGAACCTTCTATGCTTTCTTGCTGGAAAAAACTGGGGTCCTCAACAACAAGAGCTTAACAAGTATTTAACGTCTGGCCATCGAACCAGCTATCTTTTATAGTGCACCTTATAAGGGGGACACAGTGAACTAAGTACAGTAGTACAAGTTAAAAAGATAATAATATACAAAATATTTCAGACTTTCTAGAACATTTCAACAAATAATTCGCATTGTTAAACTGATAATATTGGCACGCGGGGAAATTTCAATTCACAATTTGTGTGTCAATCTACTGTTTGAAACTAATGGCTTTGCCACCAGTGAAAGCCATAATATCAATAGTGAGAATTTATTCATATGTGACAAAAGTACTTATTATGTTATAAACTATTATCTTCAGTTCTTACTTTTCCATTAAACTATATATAATAATTTAAAAAATATTCAATTTAATCAGAAATTTATAACTAATTCATTAAAGCAGTATTTTAATATGTTTATGCTTCTAACACAATAAAGTGTTATAAATTAAGACACTTGGCGGGTTTTCTCATCTTTATTTAGTTGAAAAAATATGGAACGCTTCACGATTTTGCGTGTCATCCTTTTAGAATATGTACAACTTCGGTCGTACATATTCTAAAATTGGAACGATACAGAGAAGATTAGCATGGCCCCTGCGCAAGGATGTCTTAACCCTCCAAGTGTCTTAATTTATAACACTTTATTGTGTTAGAAGCATAAACAAATTGTACAGCACGGTTTCATATCATCACAGTATTTTAATATCAACACTTCCATAAAAAATTTAATAATTGCACTTATATATAACACAAAACTGTTGACATTTAAATTAATTTATTTACAATTTTTACGCCTGTAACTTTATAACAATGTTGCATATGATATAATGCACAACACACATTAATTCCTCAAATTTATGTTATTCGCTGCAATATGTACAATGATTTCAATTAATCATTCACACGTTTATAGGAATGAAAAAGAAAATCATACAGTTTGTTAAAGAGTAGGATAAGTTAGCTGTCTGCAAAAACAAACTTTTAAATAGTTTGTTTCACTGATTTCGTAACAGAAAATACAATAAATCTTTTACAAATGTCAAATTGCTTACAAACTATTAAGTTTATCATCGGTAGAGAAATTAAGAGGGAAAATCAGGTAGATGTACTTGAGTTAATTTTAGTTTGACTGACAAAAGTTATACTTGTTTCAGGGTAATTTCAGTAAATATAATTTCTATGTATATCATTTGTAAAATGCCATGATTAATGGAGCCTGCTCTATTTATTTCTCCACATATTTAATCATCAAAATGACTTAGAAATATTAATTTGATTAAAAGTTTGTTGAATATTTCATCTTATTAAAAAAAACATTAGCCAAACATTAGTATTTATTTAATTTAATATTTTTTTTTGTTACTTTTTCAGTTTTTTTTACTCTGTGGACACTACTGTGGACACAATATTCGGTATTTCTTAGCGAGCCTGTCGTAGATGCGGATCACATTGAAACAACCAGTGCAGAGACAAAACTTGGCGTATTAAAATGTCTAAACTGCAAACAATTTCAGAGAGTTTTAGTAACGTAAAATACAAATCTTTATCGATGAAAGAGGTACAGTGCGTTGCCGCATAAACTGCTCAACTAGGACTCATTGAAAAGTTTGAAAATATTCTAGTTATTTTGAACGGATGATTTATTAATTCTTGCAATATAATAACTAAAATAACGTCTTTTGTCGATTATTTTGAGATTAAAAAAACACGAAAGTCACGAAATTTTAACAAAATGTAGATAAAGCTGTATTATTGCTGTAGATGGGAGTTCAATTAACAGTATTTGTACTTGTTATAACTTTCTATAACGTCAAGCATAAGTTAACTGTTCATTACAGAAGTAACAATATGTAAAAAAAATAAAATAAATAAAACAATATTACTTTTTGTATAATTATTTTGTTAAACTTGAAAAAAATCATAAATGAACCTGAAATATTAAGAAATAATAACTGAAATTTCGATATTCAAAACTAAATACTAAACTTACTTTTGAAGCTGATTCCCAAGATACTCTGAGGTGTGATATTGCGAGGCTCCGTGTAAATCCTTTTCTTTTAAAATTTGCTTTCTTCCTTTGTTTATTACAGGAAAGACCCAGCTGTAAAATAAACCAGTTACTTATTAATTAATCTTGTTTAACATAATTTTTCTACTGATAATTTTCAAGTGACTATCGTTGTAGTTAACTTACAACGCAATGAACGATTTTCACCCATGTAAATCATTTATCGTTATCATTGTGATAGTTTATACTGAACGAATTGGCTAAAGTATTTAAGTAAAACAGCATTAATTTGCGTATAATGAATCATCAGTAACTACTATAATTACAAATGTGCATGAGAAATATTCTGAAACGCAGTTGTTACTTTATGTGTAGAAAATGAAATATTTTTGCACAAATTACATTTTTCAACTTTTATTGTTTCTTTCCTTATTCACTTATTTAAGTTTAGTATTTTATATGTCATAATATTTTAATGTTCTTGAAAAGAACAAACGCATAAAAATTCAAAAATGAACACTTCAAGCACACATCTGACATCTGACACAAACATAGTTCTTACATTATAATTCGTTATTTTATTATTACGTAACTTACGTGCAACAAAGTTTGATATAAATTCAAAATTTGAAACATTAAATTTAACTATTGTTATAGTTTAAATGTAAAGTTTGTTTCTGATCTACGACTATTTACAACGCATATGCGATATTGTCACAACTAAATAGTAATGTCTGACTGAGTGTGCTCTAAACAAAATAAACATACAATATTGATGTTCTGATGCTGAATTAATTATATTAAATTAAATCAATAATCAATACTCTAGTACTCACCGAGTGTATTAGCATCACAGCAGAAATGAAGCTCGTTCTTTGTATATAAATCGTGATATTTGTGTAAACTGAAGTACTGATTGATTCACTGATTTCTGAACTAGATAGCTATAATTCAATTCATTGAAGTATCAAAGTATATTGATTGCTGCTCTGGGGCCCACTCAGCATTCATTGAAAGTGGTGCATTTCTAGAAGGAATACGATACCTTTTCACCGCCTTACCTATGAAAGGTATTGTAACAACAGTAAAAACAAATGGACAGTCTGTACAGCGACAGCCAGCAAGATTTCAACTTTCGGAACCTGATGCAGCTACTGGCAGATATAAATACTTTCCAATACCGATATCAGTATCGATAGTGATTGAACTTTGTGGAAAGCTTTAAAATACATGCCATTAGTACTAAGAGGATTTGCTCAGTTGTTCCTAATACGGAGGATTCTTAATTAACTTTTCAATAATGTATGTATCATCATTTACTAGAAAGTCACTACTGTAAAGTAGGATCATCTGTTCTGAAATGGGTCTTCAAAGAATTTAATTAACTGCAAAAAAACCATTTTATAAATACTGTTGTGAAATTTTCTCTACAAAAATCAAATATATTTCAGATAAAAATATTTTTATTAAAAACTTCAAATAAATTCATAGATTTTTTGACTGGCTCATAGAAAAACGTTTCTCTTCTGTGGTTAAGCGATTTGTTTTAAATATTACTTCAGATTATTATCTGTTTAAATTATTCACTCGACGTGGTAAACGTATGTAAAGATTTGCGAGGTTTAAATAAATTTATTTGATAAATATAATAATAATAGTAATTTCCCATATTAATTGTCACGTATTATAAGTGATATTTAAATTATGTAACGTATACTTACAACAACTAATTTCTAAGGAGAAAAACTTTAATACAATACAGAAAAAGTCTATTCTTGCGTTAAATATAATGAATATTTTTCCCGCATCTATTGAGTGATTATTTGTATATTTAATTGAACTTTCGGTCAATTACGTACAATATACTTCAAGGTAAAAAAGATTAGCGTGTTATCGTTTTTCGGAAAACCTTGAAGTTTCGTCAAAATGCAAAAAATGGTATTATAAAACTAACGTAAAGATTCGTCGCTAATATAATTCTAACTTAAAATGCTTTTTCATGTACTTATAATTCTACAAATATATGCAAAGGAAGCATTACTTGCGAATTGATAAGAGTATAAAAATAATAATTTTATACGGTAAAAAAAATTTCTGAACGAATTGCTTATATTTCCCGGAAAAAAGTATTAAAGGATATCAAGAATAAGTTAAAATTATTTGTAGTATATTAACCTCAGCGGGCAAAGTCGCGGGTAACAGCTAGTAAAAAATATTATTTAAAAAACAACCGTTATATTATTTATAATAATGTGTCATAAACGTTCTTTCACAATACCGTTACAATGAACTATAAAGTAAATGATTTTGTTTTATAGGCTCTATCGCACAGGGGTATCGTTTCCACTTGGAAGACTCCATACCTCATATGTTTGCAAGTATAAAATTTTACACCTCAAAATATTGAAAAAATTATAATTTAATCCAAGGCAAGCCAAGGCACTTGCTCTCTGTATGAAAACAAATTTTTTCTTTGGATGCTGACCAATCGAACTTTTACGTAATTTAAAGTGTCAAAATTTTTCTAACTTTAAGCAATTCATCACTCAGTAGATAGCCCTGGATGCGATTTTTTTTAAATATTCAACTTAAATAAATTATTTCTTTACTTGAAAATAGTAATTATCTATTGAAATAGTTGGTGCCAAATGTCATTTTCTTACGAAAGCGTTGAAACTCGAGGTATCAGTTATTAATATTAACATACAAAAGTGGTTTAAGTTTTGTTAAGATTTTAGTGCAGTTATCGAGATAATCAAGTTTAAATTTGCATATTTTAAAAAGGTAATACAGTAATTCAAAAATGTGTATTTTTGTTAAGGAATTAAAACATTTTTTACCGTTAATTTTAAAAAATCTATTATTTTACGTAGATTTTTGTGTGAACTTTTTTATGTGATTATAGGTCATGTACGTTACGGTTGATTATGCTCCATCCATCGTGAAAAAAAGGCATAAAGTTTTGCTGAGATTTTAGTGCAGTTATCGAGATAATCAAGTTTAAATTTGCATATTTTAAAAAGGTAATACAGTAATTCAGAAACGTCTATTTNGGTGCCAAATGTCATTTTTTCACGAAAGCGTTGAAATTTGAGGTATCAGTTATTAATATCAAGATAGAAAAGTGGTTTAAGTTTTGCTGAGATTTTAGTGCAGTTATCGAGATAATCAAGTTTAAATTTGCATATTTTAAATCTGCAGGATAACTAATTCAAAAACGCCTGTTTTTGTTAAAAAATTAAATTTTTTTTTACCGTTAGTTTTAAAAAATCTATTATTTTACGTAGATTTTTGTGTGAACTTTTTTATGTGATTATTCATTGGGTGTAAGAAATTAACAGATACTTAAAATATTTTATTTAATATGTAAAAGATGATTTTCCTTTCAAAAAATTCTATATTTCAACTATTAAGGAACCGACATTCATGCTTCCGCGCGCGTATTTATGTCAATTGTCTAAAAGTAACGCCACGTAGACAGACTTCNTTATTCTTTTTGTATAACATTAATTTATTATTTGATTTAACAATTGTATTAAATTTGACAAATAAAAAATTGCATTATTCGGAAAAAATGAAATTTCCAACTAGCGTCCTCTTAACCCATAAGTACCATTCTCATATTCTTTTTTTTTTTCATTTTTTAAATGGAAATATCTGTATAATAATCAAAATAGGAATTTTATAATGACATTAATATAATGAATAATCTATTATCCACAAATTAAACAATTATAATTCCTTAAATTTTGGAAAATGTTTGTTTTGAAATAATTTCTTACATTAATAGACTTTAATAATTTAAATTTGTGCCATATTAAGAATTTTTTTTTGTTCAAAAAGTTAATAGAGAACCAATCAATATAAAAATAAAAACCCATTCCAGACTTAGTTTAGAACTCAATATTTTATTAAAGTAATCTTCCTGCAACAAAGAATTAACCCTTTGTTGACCATAATGTAAATAAAACTCACAATCCTTATTATGCTTTGTGTGTAATTATGAGAAATGTTACAATACCTTAGGGTATGTTCGTAAAGTCAAATGAGTTAAATGCGTTAGTAACGAATCGTTCGAATAGTAGTAGTCTCGCTCAGTGCGCATGCTCTGCGGTGATGACGTTTCGAACGAAACTCTAACGAAGTTCACGAAGGAAAGAGTTAGTTTACTTCGTTAAGAAAATGGCGCCCGACAATATCGATGTTTCTAAATCTACTTGAATGTTTAAATTGTGAATTAAAAGATGAAATGATTGGAGTAACTGTCCACCCGAAGCAATCTAAGAAAAATATTTCGGATAAGGCTGTACTAGCAACATTTGTATCTTCGATTTTAGAAACAGCCATTTAGTTCTAAACGAATCGTTTGAAAAGTCTAACGAAATAAGAATAATGATGACGTCATTCTCGTTTAACTCGTTCGACTTTACGAACGTGCCCTTAGTGGCATAACAGAACTGTGACAGTTTTTGCATGGTTTAAAACCTTATGCTTCACAATTACAAGCAAAGCACAAAGAGTTTTATGTGCTTTATTTATAGTACTTTATTACTTAAATATGTTTTCAAACTCCATCAAGTTCATTTATAGACATATTTTCAGAATGGTTAAAATGTAAGAATGAGAACAAGTTAGTTTGTTTTAAGAACTTTAAACAAAATGTTTAATATAAACATTGGATTTCTACATTAAAACTCAAAATGCTGAAATTTTAAAAATTTATTTTTGTAAGTTTTTATAAATTTATTTTTAAATTTTTAAACAATGATATTGCTGGATAATTTTGAGAAATTCAAGTTTTGTATATGTACATCTGAAATTTATTACTTTCTTAGTTTTTAATTACACGTTGATCTTTTTTTTTCTAAAAATAAATACTTATTTTATCATTTTTAGAATAATTTTTAAATTTTTTATAAATTTCATTTTTTATTTAAAATTTTTGAAAACTTCAGGAAAATTTTAAAATAGATTATATTGNTGTATATATTTTAATATGATTTTATGTGCTTTAAACATTTTTCTAGTGATATTACGACTTCAATATTTGTGGCGGACGGACATAAAGTCGAATAAAATGACTTAAACTTGATTTTCACTTTTCCATATACTTTTTTGACAAACGACGTATAATCGGGAACGACATAACTCGAAACGACGTAAGTCGAGGTATACCTGTATATCTTAACAAATGTTAAGCATAATGTTAAG